AAGTGGATTAAATGTTCGAATGTAGCCAAAGATTAAATGTCAATTGAGTTGATGGAGCATTCGTTGGATATGAGGCCTTCTGAAATAAGTGCCAACTATTATATGTAATTTTGAGCTCTTTCAATTATAGTTTACACGTTTTAAAGAAGTCCAGATGATGGTACGAGGGCTGGCAACGGGAGCGGGTGTCCGCGGGCAACCGTCCCGTGGGGGGCTCTCGGGGCGGGGGCGGGGGGGAATTTTTTCCCCCCGTTTAGAAACGGGGCGGGGGATGGGGCAGGGGTATGTAAAAAAAGTATATATATATATATAAATATATATATATATAATATGTAATTTAATTAGTTATAAACTTATGATAATGATATTATTAGTTAGATGTATTATATAATGTATATTAGTGTATGTAATATAATTGATATTATCAATTATATGAATAATTAGACATGTCTACTAATAGAATTTATTAATTAGTTATACTAAATTTACTAATACATTTATACTAAATTTCTAACTACACTTAATAGAATAACACTTTTTTTTCAAAAAAAAAGCACAAACACAATAATGAATTAGTGATTGTATTTGTACCAAAAGTGAAAACTTGACTATTTTAGTTGTATTTATTTCATTATGTTGGATTGTATTCAAATAACTTTTGTTTGATTGTTTTTATGAGTTTCAATTGTAAAATTACAATGAATATTGACTTGATGATGTGTTGATATTTTAGTACTTGATTATTTATTAAAATTTAACTATAATAAAATTTTATTAACCCCACGAGGACAATTTTATTAACCTCGCGGGTGCCCCCGCGAGGGAAGCAGGGCGAAGCGGGTCGGGGCGGGGGCGGGGCAGGGGGAGTGGGAGGCGGGGGACGGGGCGGCGGTCGGGGGGAATTAATAGGCAACGGGGCGGGGGGGGGGGGGGGGGTCCCCCGCCCCGTTGCCATCCCTAGATTGGTACCCTTTGGGGGGGGTTCGTGCCCTTCTCTTCCACAACACCAACGACCTGCCCTAAAGTTAACTCCCACCCCCCCCTCCCCCTCCCTCTCCTCTTTCTCCCTCCCTTCTTTTTCTCCTCTTCAGGCAAAAGAAACTATAATCAGCAACTGAAGAAGCATCAATCATGCAGTTCAAGTTACTAGATATCATGATGTAGTAGATCACCCATTCAAGTCCGTGGCTTGCGACTGGACAAAGAAAGCTGACTCCAGTAAAAGACGTATCCAGCACCCAGCTGAACTACTCCTAACCAAATTGCTCTAACAGCATACTCATGAATCCTCTACCCATTAATCTTTCTGTAATCCCTAAGTCAGACGTTCAGCCACTTTCCAATTGAACAAAAATAGCAGCAGAGGTACCTTCCGACACTCTTTACCTACATATTCTTTATTGCACATGCGCCCTAGGGCGGGAGGGAGATGACAAAGGGAACAACCAAAAAGTGGCAATAAGATGAACAAAAAGTTTGTGGAGTGAGCTATATGACCATTCATCAAGAAGACTTGTAAAGTAACCCTATCTTAAGAAACAAAGAAATGCTCAGCTCCAATTCAATAGTCATAGGAAAACCTTTTGTGCACAAGAACGGGTAGCACCTGAGATTATGGAACTGATGTAAACATTGCAAACAAATTCGACAATTCTAAAGCAAGGAATTAGCAAACACTATGCAAGACTCCCCAATTCAAATGCACATCAATGCAGCAAGTGTCCTGGATCAGTATGCATCTAAAAGGAAACCTCAAAAAATAGACGACGAACTCAAATTTCAATCAAAAAGCCAACACAGGCAGAAAATGTAGTGGATTGCAAAGGGGAAAGACATGAAAAGGAAACTAAAATGATTATTTGGAAATACTACATGACACACTCAGTGCAAGAGGCTCTTGCCATTGCACAATCTGGGAAGGGCTAGTTGTATCTGACAAAAGATTTGTAATTTTCTTGTAACCTTTTTCATCCGACAATGTACGTGTTTTCTCCAAAAAGTGATGTTAAACTAAAGTGAAAGGATTTATAACACTTCCAGTTTCAACTCATCCCACCACAGAAACTGACCATGCCACTAAGCAAACTCATTTATAGAACTGCGTATGTAACGGCAACATAGTATCCGCCATAAGCTCAGAAGCTGGGTGATCAATTGCCAGTTCTCCTAATATCCCTCACAAAAAAGGAGAACTGCAGAAAATTCCCCAGCCCATATAAAATGAAATAACTTCATGAGCTTATATAAAAGAAAGAAGTAGGAAAAACTCTCTTGAACAAAATATCGAGCATCCTAGGCTGGGAGATTGCCATATAGACCACATCAGCTCTAGTTTTGGTACTCAGGAACACAATAGAACTGCTTCACAGAAAATATAAACTAAAATCGTAAGAGGCCTGCCGAGGCCAACTAGATATTTCTTCTTTGCTATCAGCATACACACACTTCGTGAGCTTCAGCAATCAAGTGCCCAACTAAGTTAAAATACTACTAGAACAGCAAATTAGCAAACAAATACACGGAAATGACAGCACTGTAGCAAAACGACTAAGATACGCGTTTCGCAAACAGCATTTTTACCATCATCACAGACAAAACCAACTAGCCCCACAATAGACACAGTTATAAGAAAAAGATGGATATAATCCGCCAATCCATAAATTCAATCTTAAATATCCTAGCTCATATTTTCAATACGAAATTAACCATAACAAGAGTCTAAATCATCACAAAAGCGTCCAAAATCACTATTAACCAGAGATGAAATCCTCCAAAGAGATTCCTTATAATCGAGAACTAAGACAAACCGAGATATCCAATTGATCAATCTTGGGCCTTAAGCTACCAGCTCAGATTACCAAATTCGAAATTAACAGTAAACGAGGGTCAAAATCAACATCATAACATATAATATCCCTAATTATAGATGAAATTCCCAAAAGGGCTCCCTTAAAAACAGAAACTAAAACCAACCCACAAATCGGAAATTGCCGCTCAATCCTGAGCCTTGATCTTCTCAATCCGCTTGTTCAACTGCTCGATACGAACAACCAGACCAGTGACGGAGTAAAGCAGCCAGTAGAAGATGAGAGCGGCGGCGATGAGGAGGGCATTACGCTGGGACTTCATGATGGACTTCTGGTGACGGAGATGCTCAGATGGGGTACAGGATTCAGCGGATTCACAAGTGGGTCTGGTCTCGTACTTCCAGTAGATGTCCATTAACAGGAACAGACAAAACGGGACGATTGAGAGAAAGGGTCGGAGGAGACTGCGGGTCACGGAGAGGAGACCCTTGCGAAGAGGGTCGAGACCGGGAACTGTGAGGAGTAGAAGCATGATTGCTTCAGCTGCAGCAGCGTAGCCTAGCACCACCCACTCTAATGCCATTCCGGTATTTGGGTATTTGGGTATTCGGGTAGGTTGATGCCGATTAGATCTCTGTGATTTTTCAGCAAGAGAAGAGAGTGGAAGGAGGCGTGGAAGTCGATGAGAGGACAAGTATTATTCGTATTATTTTGCGTGATGCGGTTAAATGATGATGTTTTTTATTCTCCTTTTCCTCTTTTTCTTCGTTGCCAAGTTTTCAGTTTTTCTGTTCTTTTATCAAGTGTACAAGTACAACACAAAAAAAAAAAAATTTAGGAGCATATTTATCATAATTAATTGTCTCATATCAAAGATTAAGTTTATACCAATCATTTTTTTTATTTTACATATATTAAATCGATGTGTTACAATTTTTTTTGCAAAAACTTTTGAAAATAACAATTGAAACGAGAATTTCTAAACTTGGCTTTTCAAAAATATATTTTGGTCTACTTCTCTGGTCTAAAACGTCACACTCAAATTAAGTATTGGCACGTATTTTATGCAGTCGTGTGCGAATTTAATGGCTTGTTGAGTTAATGTAGCAACTGCGTGGATTTAATGGCTTGTTGAGTCATTGTGTCCTTTTTTTGGAGCAAAAATTACCTTTCGGCAGTGTCCACCACCCAGCCATTAAGGCAACCTTGCCTCCCACCACACATTTAAAGTGATTTGGCTTCAAAAAATCTAGACGGGTGCGTAGTGCACCCGTCTAGTCCGGTGGTGGTTCAGTTCCTTCCAAATTATTTCTGAACCTTTTTAGGTTCGCCCCCTCGCTCATAGTATTGGATATATTATGTTATACAATAGTTGTGTTTCCGAAAAAAAAGGAGTAAATTTTTGGCTAAATTTATCAGCTATATTAACTCAACAAGCCATTAAATTCGCACACGACTGTATAAAATCTCTATGTACTACTCCCTCCGTCTCATTTTGATAGTCCTGTATTCCTTTTTCATCTGTCCCAAATTGTAATCCACTTTCTAATTGAAAAATGTAGTTGTATTTTAATTTTTCTAAAATACCCTTATTCAATGTAAATAGTTGTTACTATATGCCTACCCCATTTAATGAGAGTTGATTCTTTTTTTTACCATCAATTAAAGTTCCCATAAAGTTGTACCATATTTAATGTGAAAGTATTTTAGGAAAATAGTAATCTAAATTTACTTTTCCAACAAAATTAACTAATTTTTCTTAAACTGTGTGAAAAAAGAAACAGAACTATCAAAGTGGGACGGAGGGAGTACTACATTCGAAACTCTTGCACCACCATTCAATGTTGCACAGGATTCTTGAGTGTGATTGAACAACGTATAATTTGAAATAATTACGATAACACTTTTGATAATATATGATGATATAAGGATAAAAAAGTAATTAAAATATATAAAATAAATTAAAAAATATGCTTATAATATAAATTAAATATTATTTGATAAAATTGAACCGAAACACGATAGATTTATTTGATTTTTCAAATCTCGGACCATTGCTTCCATTTTTGTCTTAGCTTGATTCGTTACTACTTGCAAGCTGCTTGATATTTGGCCCTTTTTCATCTAATAACTGCCTGATCTCACTCCAAGTCCAACACAACCACTTTGCTTTGCTCGTATAAATTCAGGGCATTGATGATTAACTCAAAGAGAACTTCCATTTCAAACTCTAGCACTCAAAAACAGAATTTGGTATACAACACTTTGATCGAACATCATAGTTCCTTATTCCATGTTGGATTTCATTAGCATGCCCTTTAAACATGGATTAAAGTACACCGAGATTGTGCATCATATTTCTTCTACAGCTTGCTAGTGACATTAACATTCCTGACTTTAGAAGACTTAGGAGTTGTATCCTTTGGTACAACCACGGTAAGCACACCATTCTCCACACTTGCCCTGATCTGATCCGCCTTCACATCCTCCGGCAACTCAATCTCCCGGGAAAACCCAGCTGCCTTTCCTGTAATCCCTCCTCCTCTCTCGGCAACGTGCCACACCACATCTTTTTCCTTCCCCTGCCCACCACCCTCCTCTTTTGCTTCCGCCTTTATCACCAATACATTCCCTTCTTCCACTTGTACCTTTATCTCATCCTTGCTAAACCCTGTTCAAAACCGCGGTTTAAAGAAATTAGAACAAAATCAGTAATCAATTACAGAAGCCCAAAACAAGAAAAAAAAAAAAAAAGAGGAAGCAAGCCATCGAAATTATTACTGGCCTGGAACGTTGATTTTGAAGATGTGGGCATCTGGGGATTCAATCCAGTCGAGGAGGGCTGAAGACCCTGGGGACGTGCGATAAATGGTGGGACTCCAGAAAAATCGCCTGAAGGGGTCACCAAATAGAGCCATTTATCTTAGCTTTATTGCTATCCTTTCGAGCTGTTTTTATGGGTAAGGAATTCAGTCCAAAAGGTGCAAAACAGAAACTTGCAATTTAAATTTAAAGAGGGTAGGTATAGGATTCTCTAGAGAGACTGGATTCTGGAGGCTTCTAGCATTATCCTGATGGGATGGGAATCATGGGATGTGGCACTTTGGAGATGATCAGAGTTTCCCTCCATGTGGATTGCGCAATAACTCTGTGAGCTTCGTTTTAGATCCATTGACAATAATATCATGGATAACCCTTCCAACAACAAGCCCATTCTAATTCTTGATAGACTCTGGTGTCTGCTTCCTACTTTCTTTTGGGTTGCCTGAAAAACGTTCGATCTCGTTCAGCAATGGATTGTGTTGGATAGGTAATGGGGGACTGATTAGACTAAAGCATGAGCAAAGATTTTGTGTACTAATGGGTAGCCCAACTCTTAGAGCCCCATGTGTTGGTCCACTTAAAATTGCTAAGGTGCGAATTATTTAAATAATTCATGCGAAAAAATGCAAGCAATAGCCTCACATACAGAAAGAAAGAAAATTCCTACTTTGAGTGACGTACTATTAATAATAGAATAAATTTTATATACACTGATAGCACATACACTATCACCGTTGGATCCATGATAATATGTAAAAATTGAATTTCAAATTCAAATTTTGCGTAGTTATCATTCATCAAACGCTGATAGTGTATAAACTGTCAGTGTAAGAAATATTAATCTTTAATGAGTAAATCTTAGAGTTTAGTGCCAAAATAACTCTTCTTTTGAAACATATACCCAAAGTAACCTAATTTTAAAATTTATTACCTTTATAATTCTTTTTTTTCCATATAGGTTGCATATGTGGTAGGATAGAGATAGAGGCACATTCTATCTCTCTTTCCCAACTAATATCTTCCTTGATTCTCTCTCTGAACCTTCCCACTTTTTTTTTTCTTTATTATTTTGTGTCCTTTCGTTATTTTTCATTGTCAAATGTAATTGTTAAAAGCCAATATTTATATTAACAACATCTAAGACTTAATTATCATTCCTGATATTGTATTTGTAGATGAAAATATTCTCCTCGAATTGATAATTTCAAAGTAAATGAAGATTATTCTCTTGTCTTTTCTATTGTGTAGTTTTTTGAACATTCCTATGGCCTTCAAAAAATTTTGAATACTAATTGCTTTAACAAATGATTTCTCACACCGTGTGTTTGATAAAATGTTTAAGAGGAAAACTACGTAACAACAAAAATTCATGCTCAATATAAGCATATTCATTTGTGCCTCTCTATAACATAATCAAATAATCTCGTATACTTGAAGTATTTTTGCACATTTATTCAACATCAATTAATGGCTTGTGTTACTTTTGAGAAACTTTAGCATTATCTTAATTGCAATAGTTTGATTACTTTTTGTAAAAGTTCTTTTCAAGGAGTAGGAAGCATAACATAAAAAAATATGATAGCCTTGAAGTTTTTGTAACTTTTTCTTGTTATTGCTTATAATGTTCATTGCAATTTTTGTATTTTGCAAATTAATTTTTGAAAACTATATGCAATAAGTTTGATACATTTAAAAAAATTGCAGAGAGCAATAATAGCAAGGTCAATAATGGTAAAATTTATTTTAAATAATTATAAGGAAATTATCAAAATTATGCAATTTTCTTGTGCCTCTATAATAAAACAGTTTAAATTTTTAGTTTTTATTGGAAACTATAAACTAGATTAAAGCTTTCGTTTCTTGTTATCCTACATGGCAATCAGGGTAATTAGGTGATAACAATAACATCGATTTGGAAATAAAATTTGAAAGTGAATCACATTGGGAATATTTTTTAGAAAGAGTGTTATTTTGGCAAAAAACTCGTAACTCTTATATACAAGCACAAATTAAAAGATGAGCCACCTCCTGATTTTTGGGAGATTCCATGTTTGTATTTATCGGTTAGGCATTTCGTGTTTTTAAAATCATTTAGTGTAGGTGAGCTCAAACAAAAAATAAACAAAAAAAAAGGAACCAAGGAAATTTATTAAAAAGTAAAACATTGATCCGTGAATGAGTATTTTGCTAGGGATTGAGATCTCTGAAATTATTATTAGGAAAAGACTTTTTCTGCTTCCTCAATTTTGTAAAGCTTTTGTACCTTGCATGCCAATATATCATTACGTATGTTGTGAAAAACGTCCATGTACACATATATTTCCTTGTTCCAAAAAGAATATGGATCAATCATGTTCTGATGGGAAAGCTTCGTGCTTGAAATGTTGATCATTGCTCTCCTTCCTTACTCTCCCTTTTTGGTTAATGCTCTTTTTGGAAGAAATTTGATTGGTTTTTCTTCCTTTTGGATATCTTCTAAAGTAGCTGCATGGTCCTCCGGAAAGGCTAGTATGGACTATGGAGGGAAAGGTTACAGCTGTGTATTCCTTAGCTACAAAGGTAACTCATCAAGAATCAAAGCTAAAATATTGTCATTGTTGTTATTTATCAATCCATCTGAATTACTAGAATTTAATTGTTCAAATCCAACTTGTGAATGATTCAAAAGTCTCATCAAACGGATGATCAGTCATACATAGTGATACAACTTTTTTATTGAGGTTTTATTAATTTCTCCCAAACATAGACTACCCCTCTAGACAGGAACAGGAACAGCTTCAGCATGATCTCCAAGTAAGAGGATCAATAGAGGAAAGCAAGAAGAAAAGAAACAGTTACTAAACACACACACACTTATGCTTGAAGATGCTTAAACCCCTTAAAATTTTCTGTATATTGAAAGTTGACATGGGCATTTGAGCTTTACAGCAATAGGTCGCCATATTGGCTGGTGTCTCATTCCAGCATAAAGCCATGCAAAAAGTTATGTCCTTTTGATGAGATGATTGATGATGGTGAAGTCGGTTGTCTTCTACAGTTTCTAAAAGCTTTTACATGCATGAACGGTCTTGCTTTTTTCCATGAAAGTTTATGTTTTATCTCCCATTAATCAATTCTTGGTGTTTGTTTAAGTATTATCTGAAAAAAGCTTTGGATAATTAGTGAGAGAATATGCAGAATCATTCTTCTTTATATGAGACTGTAAAGTACCATAAAAAGAACAACTTTAGTCAAAAGTTTGCCTACATGTCATCCACTATATTTAAGCTCGACAAAGATAGTGCCAAATAATAGAACAAGGTTTCCATATTCTTTTGCCTAGGGGTCTAAACATATAATAATTTCACAAACAAAAAAAAAGTCTTTTGAGAATTTATTTTCCCTCATTGGCTGTTATTAGTAGCCTCATGCAAAAGCCAACCATGAGCAAATTTTAAAACCGAAAAACATGAGCAAATGTTTGTTTGCCAATTTTAGCATGACAGAACCATGAAAGTTTCATCTACATGTTCGGTAATATATAGTATGGTCCATGAAGTCCTATGTTTGCATAAGATTTTCGTTGTATGGACTTAAGCTTCAGAACTCAGATACGGAGGAAGGATATATATGTTGCATCCGCATGAAGTAATGATTCTGATGAAAATCTTGGCCAACGTGTACCCCAATCAAGAATATTTTGCCTCAGCTATAGCAGAAGATTTTCAGAAGCTTAGGCTCCTTTTAGCTTTTAAGCAGGGGATAACCCTGAAACTTACAGGATTTCGCTCTAAATTCCAGGAAATGCCTAGACTTATTGTATCATAATGCTGCCCACAAAATCAACTAGCAAATTAGCAAGTGATCAAGTCAGCTTTTGCAGTGTCCTTTTGTCTTTGGCCTTTGCTCCAAAGGTTCTTAAATAGTCACAGTACATCTACATCTTGATCTTATGCACCTTGCGCATGCTATTGATGATCTCTGTTTTCCGTGATTCTTTGTTTCTATATATACATGCCTTCATATTTCTGGTTTTCTTGCAATGCTTGGAATATGTGTTGTTTGGCTATTTATGTCTACTAAGATAAAATTTGCAGGCAGTATTTTGTTCAAGGCTTCAAGGTGTTTGTGGCAATTGCCGTGGTGGTGGTGGTCTAGAATATATTGTATTAATTTCTCAAGGCACTGCAGGCAAGGTTTGAAGGACTCTCATTCAAACTGATCAGAAAATGGCATTATGCAATTCCTAAGTTAAATGAATGAACAAGAAACGCCAGGAAAAAAAAAATTGCTGTGACAATTGAACGATAAAAGGATGAAAAGCACCATACAGACTATGCCATTTGCTCCTTTACAAAAGAATATGCCACTTTTTAACATTAGACGATACAACTTTGTTGAAGTGGAGAAAAGGGTGGAATCTTGGCATCCCTCTTTTAACCATCTTTAACTTGAATTTTGCTTTCAGAGTACACATATCCCTAGAATCTAGAGGCATCTTTTCCGTCTTGATTTCATCCACGATCTGTAACTCCTTTCGCATAGAAGCATAAAGCAAATCCCCAAACAGAAACGCAGGTGAAGGGCAACAGCAAAAGAAAAAGGCAAAAAGGGCTTTCAAAAAAATAAGTCGGGGAAGAAATATTCTTGAAATTCTTGGTTAATTCCAGGTTACTTTGGCAAGAGGGATCTATGGTTATTTATTTACCTGCAAAAAGGGAAAAGGAAAAGAGAATCAAAGTGAGTTATCAAATTATTGGATATCAAATGCTAGGAAAAATTAGACAAGTGATCAAGGTAAATCTAATTCGCAAAACTTACCATTTTCACCAAACGTTCTTCTCATGAAAGTTGCTAATATGATAATTAGAGCTACACCAGCTAATAGTCCAATAATAATTGCAAATGTCTTCTCAGAATCGCTGTGAGAAGATTCTGTAATATCAAATAAGAGAAGATTGTCCAAAAATTACTTGCAAGTTGCGTAATACCACTGCTGATAGACAGGTATGCACTTAGAAGAGAGCAAATTGTAACCAACCATAGTTTAAAGTAAATCAACTTAGCTAGAAAGTGAAATTGTAATTGCAGAAAATCACAAAATTGCTAGTAAATTACTAACCATGACCAGATCTTGCTGCATAAGGATGATCTCCACTAGTAGAATATCTAGCATAACATTTCCCCAAAAACATATCACCAAAAACAGCTCCTCCACACTCAGTTTTCAACCGCTTGATTGCCTCTGATAAACAATCTTGACACTGTCCCATACTCAAATCCCCGACGCATTGCGCTACCCCTTGAATATCCTGAGCCCCACCAACTCTGTACAGCCCACCAGCCGAACCCAAGCTCCCCAAAACCGCATCACGACGGTTCATTGCATCAGTATCAAAACCATTGGACGGTCCACATTTCTTCATCACGACAGTCTTATCTTCTTGGCCAATAAAGCTACTGTTATCGTACTTGACGAAGCACCCTTGTAACTGCAGAGCTCCGCCACAAGTCTGCGGACACAAGCCACCGAATTGACTCACTGCCCGAGTCACACATGTGGCACAATCAGGCATGGATAAATCGCCCCTGCATTGATACAGCCCGTAGACAACATCTTGTGGGCTCGAACCCGTGACGGAATATTTGTTGTAAGCTGCATAAGTGGCTGAGTTAACCAGGGAAGTGAGGAGTGAGTTTAGATTTGACTCGTAGGGCGAGTCTGGGGTGTATTTTATCTGAGAACAGCCACCGTAGATGAAAGAGTCTAAGGAGGAATGAGAAGGGATGATGAAGAGGGAAAAGAGACAAAGAAAGATGGGGAAGAGGGGGAGGAAACGACGGAGTTTTGTGGCTGTGGTGGCCATTTTGATGATAGGGAAACAAAGATTTGGGAGGTTATGAGGTTTGCATGCAGTGCAAGAAGTGGCTCTGGTTATCCTTTTCGTAGTAAAACAACAAGTGCATGTGATGAGGTCTTGTAGGTCTTTATATGCTTAGTGGTACAGTAAGGTTTGCTTAGGCTAATACTAAATTAATAGTATTTTGAATTAACCTTTGCATGAGTGCATATGAGTTTTTTGTTTATGAGATTTATATGTTAGTATTCCTTTCACTATTTCTAGGAACATTTTAGGATTGTTGAATTATAATTTGTTTTATTACAATTGTTATTGGGTCTGTTCTCAACTAATTCTAATTTTGTAAAATTGATTCTTCAAAATTAGATTTTTCAAGATAACTGATCATGTGCTTTCATTTATTGTTAAAAAATTCATTTTAATAAATGTATAGGCGTTTGTTAAAAAATTGATTTTGATAAAAGGATGACTATGGTACCATTATGTGCTACATAATTGAATTTCGTGCTAATTAAATGATTTTTATGTAATTAATTAATTTTATTATGAAGATTGAATGCTAGTGAGAAAATCAAGGGACACATAGATGAATCTGAAAATGAGACGAGCATATGAAGAAAATAGAAAGGTGAAAAAAGTTATCAAATTTTTAATTAATTTAGTAATTGTGTTAAAATTTAATGGATAATTTTGTCTATATGAAAAAGTAAGCCAGAATTAGAATTTAAAAGTGTGTTAAAACCTGCTTTTGATCAGTTTTTTGGGCCCAAAAAATCTAAAATCAGTTTTTTTTAAAAAAAAATTCAATTAAAAAAATACAACATAATAGCTGGTTTTCAAAAATCGTAAGCTAAAATCAAGTTTTCAAAATCAGTTGAGAACAAACGCATTGTAAGTTTCGTATAATTTTATAAAAATGAAAATGTCTGTGCGGATGAAAACAAAACCAACCACTAGCTACCTAGCTCTTGAAATGTTAGTCAAAAAAAAAAATGTTAGTCAACATGAAATCTTGTGTCTCGAGGTCAATTTGCTAAAAGTTCATCTAACTAATTGGGCTAATAGAGTGCATAAGCAATTGAAAGTTCAAAGCAAACTTGAACAATTAATATAGCTTATTGAATGATCCAATTAATAAGCTTTTGTCTATACGTGTTCTTTTTTTTTCTTCCTTTTTCTTTTTCATCTTCTTTCTTTTTTCCTTTAATGACAATAGCCAATAAACAGCCGAGGACGGTTAATACTTGTCCCACAAAAGAATCAAAAAGAAAAAAAAAAAGGAAAGAAAACCAATCAAGGAATATTTGTGGGAAAGGGGCCATAGATCCTATTGTTTCATCTCAAAGAATAAAGTTTAGGACATTATAGTAAAGTTATTGTGCGCAATTTAAGAGAGATTAGCCTTGACTATAACTGAAGCCATGATTTTCAGTAGCCAATCGAACAACCTTATTGATATGTAATTTCAGAGAGAAGAAAAAAAAGAGCAAAAATTAAAAGAAAAATTATGTATATATATATATTTTTAAGAGATATATATATATTTGATCTAACGATAACAATATACACTATTCCTATGAAAAAGGAGAAATCCAACTGTGCTTGTATGAGGGTCGAAGGTAAACCTCCAAACCAGATATTACTACATTCTCCGGGAAATTATGTAGACATTCTTCCAGAAGTTCAACGTAGTAACTGGTTTTGAAAAGCGAACTTAAGACGTTAGCCTGGTTAACAGATCATGCACAGAGGAAGAGGGGAAGGGCTAGCAATGATTAACGTTGGTGGACCTAAAAATCAATTTTGGCTGCACTCAATTACAGAGGGGAGACAGGAGGAGATCTGTACTATTATTTGTCTCGCCTAATTTTTTACTACTCTAGAGGTTGTACTGACTACTGAGGGTTCATGCAAGAAAGTCTTTCTGCCCTATTCCTTCTACCAGATATAAATGCCAAAGCTTGGTGAAAGATTAGTTACAAGCAACCTTACCACACACCCCTACAGGTTAAAGACGGATCATTCCACATTTTGTGCTAATTAAAGCTGAAAATTGCAACATTCGAATTCATATAACCAGCCAAAAAAGCACTACATCTGAAAGAGTTCAGTAATACATGATAGATACTACTGATCTAAATATTGCTCGGCATTTCATCTTTATAGGGGTTGTAATTTCTTGAAGAAATGATGTATAATGTGATCATTCAGTTATGTAGCTCCGTTTTTCGGAGTGCGCAGAAGGAAATTTAGCCCAGCTTTCTGATGAGAAACAAGGAGAGAATGAGATGTAACAAAGAATGTCACAATCAGGAGTGTCGTTTATAGATTAATTGCAGTTCGTCTTTAAGTTCAACTTTTCTTGCTGTGAAGCTTTCTGGATTCAAGTATGGCCAGTAGAAGTGTTGGAACTTCCGACCGAACCATTTGTCACTTTCCGGCCCCTTTCTGATTAGGATAAGGGTCCTCCACAACCCAACGTCAACGCGCTGCTGCCTATGTACAGTTGCAGCCTGCACCACTACATTTTCAGCATTCTCAACCACCAGCAGGGGGAGGGGGGGGTCATTTCCTGTGCAAATAATTTGTCGGACTAAGATATGTTTGTATGTGTAGAGATGAGATCATGAGACATCAAGGAAATATTGAAAATTCTCAAAATATTAAAGAAATAAAACATGAATTTGTAGAACTTCGAGGAGCAGTAACGCCTCCATGGATTCGTCTTTGTAAATACATCATATCACTAAAAGAGTGTTAAATGATAACAAACACACATAAATCTAATATCTTCTCTGTCAAGTTTTGCAAGTTTTGTGCATATATGACTTGAATCACTTAAATCCAATATCTTATCCGTTGAGTTTTCAAAGTTTTGTGCACGTATGATATTAATCTCTGTAATTTCTCACAGTGTGGAATAAAAAGTTACAAATCGATATGGTGGACGGGCCCATTCTTAAGGATACAGGGCCTACCCAGCGCCCATTCTCAAGCATCTCCAGCATGAAGTAGTTGAAAGCATGGAGTGGCCCATATTTTTGGTGTTTCAACGTAAAAAATGACAGAAGGGTTATTGTCACTTTACCCCCTTAATGTTCGGTATCATTATCAATTTTCCTCTTAACGTTATCTTTTAGTCACTTTATCCCCAAGATTAACAGTCAAACTTAATGGAGTTTGTTAATTAAAGTTAAAAGACATATTTAGCACTTAAAATTATTATCACTTTACCCCCATAAACTATAATCTCATTATCAATTTACCCCATATAGTTATTTTTTAGGCAATTTATCCCACCATTAAATCAATTTAACAAGTTAAAAAACTTTAGAAGAAAGTATCCTCCTCTTTGTATAATAAAAATAATTAAAAATTTAAAGTGGCTCTTCTCCTTTTTAGTATCAAGAAAAAAGTCAAAGTGTTAATTTTTTTTTCTTGACAATTTTATTAATATTGAAAAAATAGAAAGAAGGGGAGGGGAAGGAGGGGGGAGAGAGAGAAAGAGCTCTTTTTAAAAACAAATACAAATAAGAAAGAATTAAATAATTTTATATTTTAAAAGTATTTCACTTTTCTATTTATCACCAAATTCCAACTCTAATCCTGACAACCTTAAAGTAATACGATAATATTATACTCTTTTTTATTTTCTTTCTTTGCAAAATCCAATTTTTTGTCTTCTTCTTTCCTATCATCCTTTCTTTTCCTAGTGTCAATAAGTGTGAAATTTTTTTTGAAAAAAATCCTTTTATTTTTATGTTTTTGGATCTCTTAAAGTGAAAAAAAAGAAGAATAACTATTCCAACTTTTTTATTTTTAATTATATATAAAAATGGTAAATATATTTAAAAATTTTTGACCATACTAGTTAGATTAACGATGAGATAAAATGCTTAGACAATAATATTAGGAATTAAAGCGATTGTATCACTATAATTTCAAGGGATAAAGTAATAATAACAATGTGGTAACACTATAGAATAAAGGGGTATTTTTATCCAAAACTTTTTAACATGTTGAGTTAAATTACTTATAGCGGTAAAGTGACTAAAAGATAACGTTAGAGAGTAAACTGATAGTAATGACATAGTTTAAGAGGATAAAGTAATAATAACCCAATAACAGACTATTGTTAAGATTCCCAAACATACCATATTACTGGTAATCTAGGTTCAATTGCGGGCTGAGGCCATGGCATGTTCTTAAGTTAGGATCGGTGCCCATATTTTGTAGCTAAGGTTTTTTTTTCCCCTTCATAATGAATAATAATCTCAAAAAACTTTTCAAAGTCACACATTTCAAAATATCCAAAACACATTAAAAAAATTTCCCTGACAACCTCCTTCCAGCTCCGGTGCTAGCACCAGCCACTTTTTTTTTTTTTTTTTTATTCTTTCTCTCTCCCCTGCCTCTCCTCCTGCCCTTCCCTTCTCTCTCCCCCGCCACCTCTCTCCCCGCTCTTGACTAGATTGCAGCTAGGGGAAGGGAGAGGGGAAGGAAAGGGGAAAAGAAAAAGCAAAAAAAAATAAAAAAATTCATGTTTGCTGCTGGTTCTTCTAGCATCGGAGGGAGAGGTAACAGAGGAGGAAGAAGAGAGGAGGGGGAGGGGGAAGGAGAAGAAGAAGAGAGCAAAGAAAAGAAAAAAAGAAAGAAAGAAAGAAAAAAGAGAAAAAGAAAAGAATCTTAAAAATTTTAAGTTACAATACAAATCAAATAGGTACTTTTCTCATTCACCTTCTTTTACCCCATCTTTTTTAGTTTTTACCCTTTTTTTGCAAGTACTCTTGGCACTTTGGGTATAGAACAGCCATAGCTCAACTTCTATCCTATGATTCTTGATCTTCTTGTTATAGAACAAGGAAGGGAAGAAAGGGCAATGTGGGCAAGCGCCTTTCAGTAACTATGCTAAATAAATTATGATTGTGATAAAAGAAATGTTATTAGATCAATGCTTCTTTTTTTTTTGCCTACATCAACTTGTTTCACAAAGGATTGTGTGACGTTTTTTTTATATAAACATAAACAAATCAAAGCAACATTTAAATTACTTGATAATGATAAAATTGTAGACATTCTAGTTTGGTAAAAGTAGCATTATGCCACAAAAT